CCGTTTCATTTATTTTCGTGGTGAAAATTCTTTAGTCAAACGATTGTCTAATTTTACATTCAAAAAGCGTAGGAGACTTTTTTTTTTTTTTTCCCACAAAAAATTTAGGTGGGAATAATTTGACAATCGATGAAGCAACTACTTGGCGTATGTTTGCTGCTGCCTTTGTAACCCGAAAAATAAAAAATGTTATGGTTCCAGAAAAAAAAAATTATTATTCAAACTCACTGTTGTCAAAAGCTAGCCTGGTCAATTTGGCTCAATTAAGCACGTAGAAGGTCAAAATTCATCCCTTCAGATTGTCCTTTTTTTTTAAAAAAAATATGAACATACCAAATGTCAAACAATAATTATTTGAGATTGATAATGTATTTCCAAAGTCCAACAAAGAGTAGATTTGTTTCCCTCCTCTTTTGTGTGTGTGTCTGTGTTTTGTTTCTTCTCATATATAACATAATGTTGACCATCAATTAGTAATACTTAATTCTTTCGTTATATTATATACATTCCGATAGATGATATAGTTGGTGAAAAAAATAAACGTTAGATTGGTTAAGAATAGTTGGAGTTTCCTCTGCTCATCCACGATCTATTTAGTTTGTGTGCTTTGGGTGTGTTCTTTATTCATAAGACGGGTTTGGAAACTGTGGTTGGGTGAGGTGTATTTTGTTGAAATATTAGATTTAATCGAATTAGATTTTCTTCAGCATATAGAAAAGGGGCCATTTGTTGCATCAATTATATGCTCTCCATTTTTTGATGTTTAAACGTTAGGTGCATGCATCGATCCGACATGTGTTTGTGACACAAAATGTCTCTCATTTCTTCCACTTTACAGGTTAGTACCAAACTCCCAAGCAAAAATCCCTTTGTTGGAGGAGCCAAACAAAGAGTTTTTGACCTAAACAATTTTCTTTAAAAAAAGGTAGACCAAATTAATTTTTTTGAAATTTTTGTGGACAAATCTATATCCTTCGGATTTCAAAAATCCGAATCCGAGGTAAACTCGGATTTCGGAAATCCGAATTTAATAGAAAACGGATTTTGAAAATCCGAATTCATTTTAATTAAAACTAAAACTAATTATCCGAATCCGAGGTAAACTCGGATTTCGGAAATCCGAGTTCTCAATTTTAACTATAACTCGGATTTCGGAAATCCGTGGGATATATTCATGTCCACAAATATTCTGAAAAATTTAAATTTGTCCACCTTTGTTTTAATTAAATTTTTTAGGGAAAAGACCCGCCAAACAAATGCCCCCTATTTGAGAAATTTGCATAAAAGGGAAAGGGACTAATAAAATGGGCGCCGCCCAAGGTATAGTCATATATATTAAGCATACTTCCAATTCAATCTTGTGGATGCAAAAATAACTATCAACATGTATTTTATCGTTGAAAGGAATTTATCGGAGTCGAATGAGAATTAAATTGGATGTATTACACACTAGTAAGAATTATACCAACTTTGGTTGCCCCTTTACTTCTTTGAACACAGCTCAGTACGAGTATGGGATTCAGCAAATTAATTTCAAATTGATGAAATTGCAAAGAAAAAGGATTTGCGAAAACTCCGTACCAAGTACCAACTACCAAGTACGAAGATGTCGAAATATCATTGATTAAATGCCATAATATTATTAATTAATGAGCACGTAGGTCCTCATGGATTGGAGCAAAGATACCTCCTTGATCTTAATTTTTTGTGATGTAAGTATACAACTAAGATGGGAGGTGTCCCAACTTTTGCTAAGTATGGAGAGACACGATCTTTCAAGCACTAAGATTTGTACCCAATTTCCTTTTTGTGCATGACATCAATATATGTAAGCATAACGACACAAAAATCTTCCATTAGGTCCTGGTTTTTTACAATTAATTTCATACTTCTTAGTTGGAAAAAAGGGGAAAAAGAAGGAAAAAAAAAATCTCGGAGAAATAGTACCTCAGTACTCTGTCCATCTTGATTTTTAAAATGATTATCCGATTTAAATTTTTATTTTTAATATAGCTAAAAATCAGATAGTAATTTTTAAGCTGAAACAGAATATGAACATAGAAAAAAAGAATAATTAATAAATGACCAGAAGACACAAGCATCTGGCATGCATGAAGCTTGTAGCCAGGAACGCAGGAATTAGGTATGAGGTAATAAATAAATATCTTTTCATTTTTGGTCTTTTCGTATCTGCCCTTTATGCATATCTTATACTCACTCCATTCCAAAATTAGTATCATACTACAATTTGCACATAGTTTAAGAACTCTTAAATATGGTTGTAAAATTACTTGATTATCCTTAACTAACCCCATTTAAAAAATGTCCACCAATAGTATTAATTCTTTTGAAAGTAATTTTAGAAACTTAAGACGAAGAACTGCATCGAAATGTGATTACGACACTTATTTTGAAATTTTTCTATTTTACTATTTCTGAAATCGAGTTAGTTGTACTTGACCCATGTTTATGAGCTTTAACTGTTCGACGTCCAAGAGAATTTAACTCGTAACCAACAACTAACTATTAGGGGTTTTGGATATAGCAAAACAAACTATAATTTGAGAAGACTTGACAACTACCACTGTTGCCACGAAGGTTCTCTCACAAGTGAACCGCTCCAATTTAGATTTTGACTTATAGTACAAATTCAACTAAAAATGAAAATCAAAATTGGACAATAATTTGGATACAGAAAAAGTATGATTTTACTATTCATTTGCTAAGAGACTTATTATGAAATGACTAAAAATCCAATGGTGACTGACAATGAAGGTACATGTGCTAATTGGTTTTGGCCTTGTTGACACCAATTTCGTCAATGGTGTCGGCCCAACAAGTGATATGAATCGGCCTGCAAATAATGAAATTCGGAAATCAACAATACGTCCAAGTCGGAAGTCGGAGGAACCTGGGAGTGTGAACATGATCAACCACCGACATAGTTAATTATGAGATGTTTCCTGTAATTAAGGTGTTTTATTTGAAGACTAATTCTATTCACATTCGGATTTGGTTTAATATAGGAAAGTGACAAGAAGTCTACTCCAGGTTGAAGTCTTTTCCTCCGAGGAATCAAGAAGAGGCTGACCTACCTTTCTCTCTAAGAAGTGCCGACCTATTCTTCTATTTAAGCAGGGCAGTGTGCAACATCAATATCATCCCACGATCACATCAACAACAACACAAGGCCTCCGACGCCTCTTTTATTTTTCTTTCTTTTCAGTTCTGTTCCTTTTATTATGTCCTTTTCGATATAGCTTCATTATCGATTCAGTCTTTTTCATTCAAGTCTTTTATTATATCCTTTTAGATTATCATGTCTTTTATTACGTTTTTCTCAATATAAGTCCTAACGCACTATAGGTGTTTGCATGTTTTTCCTTCATAGAAATATGTAGTCGTTCATAGGTTCTACTTCAGTGAAGTCCATATCGATCTCTATAATAGCGTGCCATCGATATGGACTTCCGTGTCGCCGCTAGTGTCTCTGGTCCGTGTCATAGCGTGTCATCGGCTACGTCTAATCGGTGCTAATATCAGAGTCGTTGTAATCACGTGCCATCGATCGAGAGTTCTCTGTCGGTGCTAGTTCTTTTTTCACTTTATATAAATCGAGCCGTTTAACTTGTTCCACTTCTTTATCTTTTTCTTTTTATTTTACAAACCAAAGTAAATTGTAAGTCCTCGATTCGAAGTCCGAAGCTTGTTTTCGAACTCATCCACAATCATTTGATCTTTATTTTATGTTAGAGAGATCTTTACCCTTCTTTTCTTTTTCACGGTTGAAGGTGATTTTTTTGGCACAAACAGGCCTTTTAGTTCCTCGTAGTTCACCAAGCATATATTTTGTATAGTTTGGGGAATACAAATCGAGATGATTATGAGCTCAAAAACGATGATCATTGTGCCGGAAAACTAGTATCAAGCTTGGGCTGTTACCCATATTTCACAAGCCTTCATTTTATAGCCCACTTAAGCCAACTTACTAAAATCATTTCTATAAGCCTATTTCACGCAGGCAGGTCCATATACCCAAAGTTTCATGTTTTTTCCCCTTCGATCTGCTACTTTCCCCATCCCGTGCACATATCGTAATTCGTAACTCACGAGCCCATGGACTATTAACAGGGGATGCGATTGATGAAAATTAGTGTTTAATTCAATTTTAATTGCTTTTTTTTAAAACAAAACTTTATATTAATTTTATTGAAAATTGTCCAATAACGATTGAAAGAAAAAGAATACAAACTACTATACTATTACAACTATTCAGACACATACTCTTGAATTCAAAACTATTGATTCACTGCAATTCAACTTATACAAATCTAAGATCTATTCGGTTGAATTCTTCATTGTGGGTTGGATATGTCACGTATTAATCTATTAATCCCATTATGAAATGATTGTTCAAATCTTATACAATTTTCTATACAGCAAAAAGTACAATTATTTTGAGAATTCGATTAAATTTTTTACGACAAAGAATGCACCCCTTACTTGGGAAGTGATCACTTGTAATTTTTTGTCTAACACTTTTAAACAATTTTTTTAATTAATAATTGTATCTATTGCCCTCTGTCCTTAAATTATTATCCATTTTGAGATTTTATTTTTAGTATAATTTGAACTAAAAATAGAATCCTAAACTGGACAATAATTATAGAACAGAGGGAGTACTTGTATTATCAAACGCGCTTTATTTCGTTTTCTAACGGTGTATTTTGGTTTTCCCCCCTTTATTTAATTATTATTATTTTCACTTACACTACATATATAACACCTTTTTTTTTTATTATTTCTAACACCAAAAAAAAAAAACAGCAACCTTTTAGACTTGCAAGAAAAATCAAGCTCATTAAAATAGACTTGTAACAAGGTAACAAGTAAAAATGGAATCAGCAAAAATTGAAGATACACCAATATCTGTTTGTTCTCGGATTTTTATAGTATTTACAATAACACCCATACATTCACGAAAATGGCCAAACACGTCCTCAGTTTTCCTTCTTTTTCTTCCCTTTCTTTTCTTTTTCCTTGATGATGTCAATTGACTTCTATCCATCCAGGAAACAAAATTGCTGAGCGGAAAAAATGGCCGCTCAAGCTCTCTGGACACCCTCAATTACTACTGCTTCTCGTTTCCTCCAACCCCATTCTGAAAGCTCAACCCAATTTCTTGTTACCCCAAACGTACTGAAACAGTCTCTACAATGTCCATGGCTGGGCAGAACCATCCAGCTCTCAATTCATTCGGTTAATCAGAGACCCTTTACTCCAAAACGTCCGAATATCAAAGCCACCGTTGTTTTCAGCTTGCCCACATCGTAAAGTTTCATTCTTTAACTATTTCATCTCTCTAATTTGATGAAAATTTGTTATCATGTTGTATTTTCGTAATTGGCTGTATAATAAATTGAAGCTGGGACTTGTATTTGTGTTGCAGGAATCCGGAGAGGGTTGCTTCCACTGAGAAAGTTCCCAAGTTAGTTTGATTTTAAATTCTTTGCTTGTTTATAGTGTCACTAGCTATGATATTTTATTGAGTTTCTTATAGTGGAAAGTTTGGATTGTTTCGTATCTAAATATTTCAGATGGTCTTCGAAGGCAATCAAGGCATTTGCTATGTCCGAATTGGAGGCAAGGAAGCTCAAGTATCCGACTACTGGAACTGAAGCTCTTATTATGGGAATCTTGATTGAGGGTTGGTCTACAATCTTACTCAATGTTTTACTTTTTTAAATTTTGGTACTATTTAGCTTGGTTTTTCATTATATCATGTTCACTATGTAGCTGAATTAAGTCTAAGTACTGAACTAATTCTTATCAAATCCATAATGCTAAATTATTATTAGCTCTAGTTTCCAAATTTTGGTAAAAAGTAATTCATGAACCTTCCCCCTGTAATATATGTAGCTATAGTTTTGGTGATGCCATTCCGTCATCGTGAATTTGGCCCTTCTGAATCAGATATGGAATATTCTTGTTTCAGCAAACCTAGCCTTATGTTCAGATTTTGACTTGGCACTTGCGAAGAAAATTATATGGATCATCTGGTTTGCAATTGACTAGGTTACTTTATCATTAAATTCAGTTTGAAAGAATTGACTATAGAGTTTTAAATTCTGTTATTTGCTGAGTTGAATGTACCCTGCATCTAGTTTTGCTCATGCTAAATAATGGCTGAGCTTTGGAAAAGCGCATATTAGTGATGGTCTATCTTATGCTAATTCATGGTACCCTCTGCCCGCCTATTATGATGAAATTGAACATTATTAGTACTCTTCCTTGAGGGAATCCAATCTGGTAGTAAAGATATTCCCAGAAACGAAAATGCCAAAGGCTGGTTTTCTTTCTGTCTGTTTAATATTTAAGGAAATGTGGGGTATATAAAAATTGTTAGCAGTTGCTGTGATATACCAAGGAAGAGTATTTTTGCTTTGGAAGCTGATACCGTGGGAGACAAAATTTGGGGGGGGGGGGGGGGGTGGTGGATCCAATAGGTGAGGATTTTAGGGAATGACGCTTAAGATTTTCCGTGCATGTGCATAGGAGTCCTGTTGTTATGTAACAGGTTCCCCTGGCATTTTGATTTCTGGATCTTCACATGCAAATACAGTTAGATGCGGGAAAGAATCTAAAGAACTATAATGCTGAGGCCTTTAATGTGTACTCTCTTAGGGTGAGTCCGCTCCTTTGTGATGCTTGATGGCTAGCTTCCTAATTTTTTGTGCCAATCCTGAAACTACTCGGAATTTTTGTTGAGAGTCATTGAGGTCCGAGTGCATTATCTGTAACAGCAGATCCAATCCCCTCTACTTTAAAATGCTGCTTTTCCGTTGTTTTCTAAAGTGTACGAGAATCTGAGACGACTTTATGTGATAAATTTGGAGTCGCCTACCTTCTTAAGTTCTTTCATATTGGGTATTATCATCATGCGATGCCCAAGAATTCCGAGTTCTGAGCCTTCTGCAGCAAGTATCGATTTGTTGATGTTTAATTTATAGTCTAAAAACTTGTTTGCAGGAACAAACTTTGCTTCAAAATTTTTGCGGGCAAATGGAATTACACTTCTGAGAGTGCGTGAAGAAATTGTTAAGTTGCTTGGAAAGGCTGACATGTATTTTTTCAGTCCTGAGCATCCTCCTTTGACAGAAGATGCACAGAGAGCTCTTGATTGGGCTGTTGATGAGAAGATCAAATCTGGTAATGCTTTACTGAGCTCATGGACTTTGAATTTTGCTGTTACTTCTATTTAAAGTTAGAACTTCTTGCACGGACATGTTCTCTCTCTCCAGTTGTTACCTTGGTTGACTCCATAGTGTCATCTCTTTTCATCAGAAAGAATTTCCTTTTCTTTTTGTCTGACGGATTGCTATGGTGTTCTCAGTGTCTTCCTCGTTTCCGCTGGTCTGATTGATTGTAGTAATTTTTCCAAGCACAGAATAGATTGACTGACTAGCTTGGTGTTTACCTTTCCTTTTTCTTATTCTGCTGGAAGTACTTGTGCTCTTCTTCTGAAGCAAGAGATGCATTTATTATAGTCTTTCAGAAAACAGGAAAATTTGTGGATAAAACACTCATGAAACTACATGTGAATGCAGGCAACGAAGGCGAAATTACAACCATCCACTTGCTGCTAGGGGTCTGGTCACAAGAAGAATCACCTGGTCACAAGATTTTGGCTGTCTTTGGTTTTAATGATGAGAAAGCCAAAGAGCTCAAATCTGCAATATCTGATCCCAAATTTACGGATGATTAAAGCTTTGGAATTTTTTGAGTCTGAATAATGATCATTAGCCATTTCACGAGAAACCTGAACACATTATATTAAGGACCTAGCCTATGTTGTTTTTAATTTTTTAATTTTTTTCTTTGAGTTGTTTTGGCCTTCGTAGCATTAGGGGAAGAAATAGATATAAAATTTTTGAGAGTGCGATACATCCTTGTGGAAAAAGGAGGAAATAACGAATGTACCTTATACCATATCATTTAATGAGCAGAGCATGTACCCCCAACATCTATAACTGGTGAGAGTCATTCAACTTGATCTGATTGATGCACTTTGGGTTTAATGGTGGAAATGGCTGTATTTTATCAACATATTTCCAATACAAGTGAATTTGGATGGTAGTTGCATAAGTAGTAATATTCCTGTGTGAGCATTGCCATTTAGCACCTGCAAATGAGCTAATGCTGCAACGAATTTGTCCCTGGGTTTCATTGTGCTTGTCCTACTGCATTGTTGTTCCTTGATTTCTCATCTTCTTGGTTGTTGATATCCTCAGTTGAGGTCAGCATCCTTGCCTTACTGGCTTCTTCATCCCAGTCAATACGCCATATAAATATCAGCAACAAAAACAAGCAAATGATGCATCCAACCACGAAGCCAATCAATATTCCAGCAACTCCAAGATGGAATTTGAAAGCTAGAATTGCGGCTACAGGTAAAGCAAATAAGTAGAAACCTGTTAAATTTGCATACATTGCCAAGTTTGGTCTGGCTGTTCCTCTCACTATTCCTCCACACACTACCAAGGGAAAGTTGAACACTTCCATTGTAGCCATTATCAGTAGCATCTTTTTCACATTCCTTGTGATTTCCTTTTGTTGGCTAAACAAACTGCCCCAGCTGTTTCGGGCGGCTATCATTATTGACCCGCCAATGAAGCCTAAAAGTACGCTGGCGCCCAGAGATATGTATGCTGATCGATGTGCTGTGCGAGCCTGATTTGCTCCGAGCTCATTGGAGACACGGATGGAAGCAGATGTCGCCAGCGAGATCATGACCGAGTAAAGTAAGTAATCAAAGTTTACAACAATTGCTAAAACTCCTATAGATTGTTTAGCATTTGGTAGCCTTGCTGCTAGTAGCATTAAGATCTCATAACACCACCATTCGAGACAAGTTGTGAGGCAACAAGGACCACAAAGTTTAAGCAGTCTTTTCCAGTCCTGAACTCCTTGCTCCCACCAACCTCCTTCTTTCCACTTTTCTACCTTTCCATGTTCTGCAACTACTGCATAGAAAGCAAGGAGAAGAGTGACTAAAAGATCGCTCAACCAAACCCCCATTGAAACTCCTTCAAGCCCCTTTGCTTTTGACAGTACTACATTTACAGGGATATGAAACGCTAATCCAAGAACTGAGCTCAACATAATTGGAACCACTTGGTTCTGAGTGCTTAAGTAGGCTTTCAGAGGGTACAAGATTGACTGTATTACCAAGTCAGGGAGGAGAAACAACAGGTACCGCTTCACCACGATGACAAGATCTTTTTGCTGGCCTAACTGAATGAGGATCTTGTCCACATTAAGCCACAAGAACGAAATAGGTATGCTTGCTAATAATAACAGGAAGATCGACATGACAAGGGTCTTGTGAAGAAGCTTGAAGTTCTTAGCTCCATAGGCCTGGCCGCATATGGGCTCCATAGCAACAGAGAGGCCACTCAACACCGCGAAACCTGTCACGTTCGCAAAGGTGCCGCCCAGCGTGCCTCCGGCCAAGGAAAGCTCCCCTAGACGCCCGAGAAATGCAGTTGTGATGGCAATCCTGGCAAACCATGTAAAATTGGTTACCAACAACGGGAAAGTTATCAGACGTTGTGCTTTAAGCTCGTTAAGGATGGAAGTATATATCAAATGCTTATCATTTCTGTTCTCCACCATCTCTGTTTCCATAGCTAGGAAACAGTGAGAAGCAGGAATTTAAACTTGTGGGCAGCTCTTTTGTGGGATTTGCCTGAATTTAGTATTTCTATCCGAAATGATTCAAAAGGTGAATGATATCATAATGTATGAGCTGTGTGTGAGTGCATGGATTTCGTGATGGTGTCGTCTTCTTGAGAGAAAGATGGCAAAGAAAGCATGGCAGCTTTATGACGGGATGGACGCAGAATTTTCGCTTAGTGGGATTTTATAGTGCGTGATGAGACTGCCAGTTTTTGCAGCTTTAACGACTTTGGTTACTAGTCCGTTATAGATGCTGATGCGAATAGAAATCTTCACTAGGTTCAAGCCGACATTACCCTTACCATGAATATTTGTCACCCAATAGTAGTTTTTGAGTTATCAATAACGTAATCTTTTGTAGAAATAGACGAGACATCTTTTTATTACGTTGTATATACTTCAGTAAGTAAAGAAATCAATTTGGTAATCCATCAATACTACGTGATGACTTTCTTCGTGAATCTCACTTATTTCTCACTCTTTTCTTCTTTGTGATGCAAATTGTTGCAGGAATTGGTGGGACATTTGAAAAAAGTTTAAGAAGGAGACACCCCTCTCCAATAATAGAGGGAAGATCAGTGTAACCCATTCTTAAAAGTGTCTTTGTTTGCCTTGCCCTTAGAGTTTCTTAAGGGGCTACAATTTCCCTCCTTTAGGATTTGGACTAGCCTTATTGGGGGATACTAATACCAGATTCTGTTGTTTATGATTAGGTATATTTCTCTGTTTTTTCAGGACAATCATTTTGTATGGCACAAAGCAAAGTAAAATTGGTTGTTTGGTGCTATAGCCTTTTGAAAATATAAAAACTTTTTTTTTTATGTCCTTCATCCTATAAAGCTAAAGTCGGAGGGAGTCCACATTTCTTTTTCTTTGATGTTCGTGAAGTGATCTAAGCAATCATTTATCATTCTATTCTTATCCCAAAACTTAAAATATACTTAATTTATCTTTGGATTAGAGATCATCATTAAGGAATAGTGAAAATATATATGATAGAAACTAGTGCGGATCCATTAGGAAGCGCCTTTATTTGAGATTAGTCTTCAATCGAGTCAATTTAACCGTTGAAAGAAGATTAGAAAGGCACTTATCTGCTTAACAAAGGAGGGAAAAACTGAGGGTTGGGGTTAACTCTTAGAAATGGATTTTTGTCCCAACATCATTTGGCTAAGAAAATTACAAGACATACAATGAGATAGATGCCACGTTAATAACTAATACTAGTAATTTTTAAAAGGTGAAATACAATAAAAACTATTCATATTACTTTCTTGTGTGTTACAAGAAACTGAAATTATTTTAGAAACCTCATGTTTAGGTCAGTGTGATTGTGCTTGATATCTATAGGTATCGGACAAAAGTACAAGTGGAAACTAGTTTGAGATTTGTTCCAAAGCTCAAGAATATATGATCTAAGCAGCATAACCCAGGAGTAGAGAGATTAGAAGAAATCAAGATTGAATTTTTTAACATATCGCGACAGATTTCTAGATGTAGATTCCTTATTCTCTACAAATAACCTGCCAAAACTAAGATTCTAAAGAAGGGAAATGACTACCCAATGAATTCTCGTAACCTCAGTTTGAATTACGAATATACTGAAAAGAAAACACCATCCGCCGAAAGAAAATGAAGATACAGCACATAAAAGAGACTGAATTGCCAACTGCCACAAAATAATCAAGAAAAACAAATTATTATTCTTTCCGTGATGAAAAAATATACCAATTCGTCAAACTATTTTAGTTTAACGAAGTAACTAATTTTTCCGAGACGGAAGGTAATATAATTTAAGAAAGACTTAAAATACAATTATTGAACTTTAGAACAAGGAGTAGAATTGCATTATTTAGATATGTTGGGACGATGGGGTATGATGATTGTTTTATGATTGGAATCCGAAGTCGGAGGTGCACTCACACAATCTAAGTTGGATTTGTTTTGTCAGTCCGTGGTTTCAGTTGTTGCCGTGTCTGCTTCTTCCTACTTCAGTGGAATTCAGTGTTGGATCTCATCTCGCTATACTGTTTTCAGGTTTTAGTATTTTATTCCAGCCGTCCCAAAATAGTATAAGAAATGAAAAAAATCATTTTAGAATAGTTTTTGCTTTTGTTATTGTTTTTTTTTTTTTTTGAAATGTAATCATTCGAGAACAGTTAATTAGTGTAAGTTGTATGTACAACCTACCTATACATACTGATATTTGGATCTCCTATCTCTCAGATCATGCCATAAAATCAAGATTGATTGGTGTACATGAAACACCCAATCCAAGCTGTTGGCAAATAAAATTACGAACTGTTGCATAATAATGACTTCAACGGGAAATGTATGTTTCAAAATCAAAATTACATAATCATGGCTATCTGGAAAATGGTTGCTACACTTTGCAATTTGCAGTCGGTATTATTTGGACTCGGGGTCAACGTTTTTGGGCCACCCGTTGACTTACTTTATTCATATTCCTCTCCTCATCTGGCAATAAAACATTTTAATTTGTCTTAAATTTTATATAGTACGTACTTCTTTTTTTTTTTTTCCAGAAGAAAGAAACAAAGCCTGACAACTAAGATAAAACAACACGTTGATACAAAATACTAACTATATCATGATGTAACCAAAGTTTCACCACATTCGGCGTATCATCCAACCTAAAAACTCCTCCAGGGCTAGAGTATGCAAGTGTAGCTAAAGAATCAGGAGCAAAATTTGATTTTCCATATATGTGTCTCAACTCCACATACCATGACCTCCGCAACAATTCTCGAATGGCCAGTACTAACCCCTTATGCAACCCAAGGATCTCTTCCTCTCTCTCCACCATTTTAACCACACTCTGATTATCAACTTTGGCTATGATCTATCTCATTCCTAGCTCCCAAGCAAGATCTAAGCTTTGAAATAAACCCCACAGCTCAGCACCAATAATTGAGCAAAAGCCAATATTCATCATAAACCCCACACCATCGATCCAAATGATCTCGCAGCAAACCTCCCGCGCTCGCCATTCCATTTTGTGCATTAAAAGAGCCATCTGTGTTCAGTTTCAACACCCCATCCGGCGGAGGTAGCTATCTCAACCAAATGACCTCTCCCAATTATGTATTTTTTTTTATAGTATGTTGTTTTAATTTAAAATAAAACTTTGAAAATATATTTTTCACATTTATCTTGTTCTCTCAATTATTTTAAAATCTTTTTAAGGCATTATTTTCAATTGGAAAAACATACTAGATAAAATTTAGAACAAATCAAAATGTTTTAGAATCAAGACCTGAATGAGTATATGTTAAAGAAAATCATAAGTCATAACTAAGCGTATTCAAATTCTGGATATCAAGTAGATTACATATCTCAAAGTCCTGATCGGATGAACTGCAATTCTTTCCCAAATGTAAGAAACTCATGAAATGTTTCATTCATAAGCTTCAGTACAAAATTGTAAAATGAATTTAAATCATTCAAGTATTCACGTCCGGGCGGCAACAAAGATCAATCATGCCAATTGTACTGCCACCCGAGCGTAGCGACCACGTTCAGCCTCTAAGGTACTCCGGGGATGCATATTTGATGTAATGTTGGGGGAGTACAGAACATTACTAGGCTAGGCCACTTATCTCTAAGAGCCCAACTATAGCCCAAACAATTTTCAAATTGTTTAAATAAACAAAGAAATTAGCCCAATCGCACAACAGCTTATTAACACAGACTGAGTGCTTCTTTTCCTTTTTTTCTCTTTCGGTACAAAAGGTATACCTTATACCTCCTACTCTTAACATTTTTCTGATGAGAATCTACCTCAAGGTGATGCTGGAAGTAAACCTGAAATCTCCTGTTTAGAGAGAGTATATATAACTCTTCGAAATTTTATTGTGTGTAATTTGTTTTATATATATATATATATATCAAAAGGAGAGACAAAACCTAAATAGATTACATTAAAAAGTTGCGCAATAGAGAGGAATCATTTCTTGTATTTTCTGTTCCAAAATAACACTCCTGTTTATTGAATTAAAATTTTTTTTCGGTGCGAAAAATGTAGATGCATGAACTCTGTTAATTAATTACATGCATGTATGATGGGTTTGGAGGTTTTGTGATGAACATGGAGTTTTATGTTATCACGGGAACAAAATGAATGAGGTTGTTTCAAGCATTGTAGCTTGCATGGAATGTAGGCTGGCGGAAGGTTGTCGCATAAGTTGACAACCAAAGTATCATCTTTATGAGTAAAACCAGGGAGAAGATTTATGGTCTTAGTGATAGTATTATTCCATGAGATTAGAAATTTGTTGAATCTTTAATGGGAAGTGGAAATTAAACATACGCTCGTGACTCGTGAGGCAAAATTTTACAGTTAATTATTTGGCATCGTTAGTAGTTCAAGTATTAGGTGGCTTGTATTTATTAGAAGTTCCATCACTAGGGATGAAATTATAATTAGAGCATGATATGACTGGAAGAATATATCTGTGTAATGTGTTTGTGTATTTCTTAGGATGCTAACTCATTCATTGTACTTCGAAAAAAAATTGAATATCGGCATATTAATCACTCTCATTTGGTACATTTCCAATGTGCACGAGTGGGCAGTCTGTGGGTGTAAGATGGATGCATGGTCATATGTTCAACTAGAAGTTTCCGACACTAATGTTCACAGCTTACAAATTCCATATCGTCAACTACTAGTACTAGTGCGGTTCAATGTTCACGAGGGTTAATTAGTAAGTTGGAGAGGGAAGGGGGGGCTGAGGGTTATGGGCATTTTATGTTTGTTTGTTATATATTGTGATTTGTGGGTTACTACTACTTTCTACCACGTACGTCAATGAAGAAAGAGTAAAGAAAGAGAGAGAGAGCCGACAATGAGCATCTTTGGGTTGCATAGGTTTTCGGTCACAAAAAGAATCATGCGCCGAGAGAGAAAGATGATGATGGATGGTGGAGAAGAGGTGGTGTGTTTTTTGGCATCAGATTTATCAGTTTCTGGACCAAACAAACAAATTATCTCAAGCAAATCTGAAAGTGACCCAACCAAAACAAAACCAAATATTTACTTCCAAAACCAATTTTAAACCAAACACAGAGAAAGGGGCAAAAACAGCCAAATAAAAAAATAATCAGTTTAGTGTGTGACTGTGTGAGTGTGTGTGTGTGTGTTGATGAGCCAGCCAATCCAACATAGAACGAATCCCCCGGGGAGGCCGCTCGTGCTCTCGTGCTCGTGCGTTCTGGGCTGGCTGATCCCCCCAATTGTGGTTTTGTCAGCGCTACCCACGCGTCTTTTCCACAACACAATCTGATCATCAATTTTTACAATCAGTCAAACCAACCCATGAAGTTAATTTGCAACCCTGGCCTATTATTATTCCTATAGCCTCTCTCACTTGCCTAATTAGGCCTTTCCCTACCACTAGCCAACAGCAAACATCAACAACCCAGCAATCTGTATATATATTCCCATATCCACCCTGTAATTTATCCTTTATATACCAGTCAAAACTATTTACTCATTACTTCTTGAATTGATGAATGTAGCTAGATCCACAATTTATGTTACTGTGAGTCAAGGCTCGCTACTGAACCAATTTCCAATACGTATCATCTAGAGATCGAATTATAAAGCACTTGGTATTAGAGAACAAGGTGATGTTTTGAGGTCAAGACTGAAAAGTAGTAACTTCAAATTGAACCAGAACATGAATGTTTTTGCTTAGTTTTTACTCCCTGGTTCCATAAAAGATAAACAATAATATGTTTTTTG